CCAGCCCACCCGCCCACCTCCCGGCTCTTCCCTGGGGTTCTCGCCGGCGCTCCGCGGTTGTCATGGTAACTTGGGGGACGCTGGATGCCCCAGGATTGGACTACTTCCGTTGGCCAGGTTTGGCCACCCGTCACCCTGCCGTTGCCACGCAGACGGTGGAGGGCGATCACAGCCCCCACCCCCTCGCTGAGGAGTGACTTTGGGCAAGTCTTCAAGGCGTTTTTATTTAGAAAAATCTGCCGTGGAACTCAGCCAGGATTCAGGCCGGCCCGTTCCCTTGGATCCCCATTTTACAGATGAGCAAATTGAGGGATCCGATTCAAACCCCTCTCTGCCAGACTCCAGGCCCCTCCCTGGCTTTCGTCATCATGCCTGGAATGACCACCAACGACCCTCCTTCCAGGGAGCTGAAAACACTGGGCATGTCCCCCAAACACCCAGGGGTTCCCCCAATCTGACTCGGGCTCCAGCATGCCCAGCACTGTGTCAGCAGGTGGCTCAAGGTTGCGAGTTGGGAGAACACAGCCTTCAGCTTCGCCCAGCCTGCTCAGGCCTGCCCTGGGTGGCTATCCCCCTAGGTTGTCACCAGCCAGCATGATGAATTGTTTGGAGACCTGAAGCATCCAGTTTAATTTAAACCTTCCCCAGGACACAGCTGTGGCAGGCATCCACCGGTCAAATGACACTCTGGGCAACGGTCAGGGTTTTATTTGGAGTTAAGTCCTGGATGGGGGGAGGGAGAGGGGAAGCCACAGGCCATCATATCCCAACTGCAATCCCTTTAGAAGCTCTAGAAGCTTGTGTCCTGCGCCCCCAGGCCCTGGGTCTCTCCTCTTTCTTCTTTCCTTCTCCTTCCTCCTGGAGACCTAGGAAGTCAACTTGGGAGATGCTTGTAACACTGAATTCCAGTACGCCCAGTCCCTTTCCACGGTTATTTATTAACCCCTCCGTTCTGACCCCAAACTGAGTGATGCTGGCTAGAAGGCACCCCAGCCCCAGGCCCTGCATTCGGAGAGCCCCTCAAAGTGGGGGAGACAGAGCCAGACAGAGACGACCCCAGTGTGGTCAGGGCTGGGCCAGAGGGAGGCCGTGCAGGCTGGGGGCGCCTGGAGGCCAAGAGATCCGGAAAACAGGGAAAGGCTTTCTTGGGAGAGGGTACCGGGAGGCCAGAGAGCCCAAGATGTGTTTGGGGAAGCACGGGCCAGGCGGGTCCAGCCAGCAGCTCTGGAAAGCTGGAGGTGAATTCTTTGCCAAGTAGCAAGCAGCGTGCTCCCAGGCCTGTCTGCCCAGCCCAGCCCCAGGCCTCAGTGGGACTCAGCTGCAACCAGGAGCATCCGGCCCTTCCAGGCTCCAGGCCCAGCGCAGCGCGTCGTGTTCCGAGAGAACATCTTGTCTTTATTGGCCACAAGCCACCCGTAGAGGTCTTCCAGGTTCCCATCACAGATCCAGGGGTTACCAGAGATGTCAAAGCCATCCCTCATGTCCCGGGTGGGCTGCCCCAGGGATGTCCAGAGCCCCTTAGGCGCGCCGGTAAGCAAGTTGTTGGACAGATCCAGGAAGTCCAGCTGCCACAGACCCTGGAGGGCGCCCGCTGCCACGGTGGCCAGCTTGTTGTCATTCAGGAAAAGGTAGCGGAGGTCTGGCTGGGGTGCCAGGAGCCCCTCGTCAAGCACCTGCAGTCCGTTGCCTTCCAGATGCAGCCTTTCCAACCGCAGGGGGCCTTTCAGAAGGTCTGGGGGCAAAGCCTTCAACTGGTTATTGCTGAGGTCAAGGATGCGCAGGGAGGTGACGTTGGCCAACAGCCCCGGGGGCAGGGTCTGGAGGCGGTTTTCGGAAAGGTCCAGATGCCGCAGGGCTTTCAGGCCGAGCAGCCACGAGGGCTCCAGAGCCTCCAGCTGGTTTTCCTTCAGCACCAGGGTGTGGAGAGCAGCCAAGGGCTGGAAGAGGCCGGGGGGCAGGCGGGCCAGGCGGTTGCGGGTTAGATCCAGCACCTGAAGCAGAGGTGCGGGCAGCAGGAACTTGGGCGAGAGGCTCTCCAGCTGGTTGCTGGACAGGTGCAGTTCCTGGAGGCGAGCGAGGCCCCGGAGGGTGTCGTCTGGCAGCCGCGTGAGGTTGAAGAACTCCACCACCAGGAAGACGGTGTCGGCTGGGAAGCGGCGGGGGATTTGGGCGGGGGGGTGGCAGGAGACGGAGCTGCCGTTGACCGCGTGGGACACCACGCAGGCGGCACGGTTGGGGGTGACCTCCTGGGCGGAGGCCGTAGACAGCAGCAGCAGGAGCAGCGTTCTAGAGAGCCGGGAGTCCAGGCCTCCGGGGCTGCGGGCAACGACAGAAGAGACACCCGGCTGGGTGAAAACGTCCCCAGAATCAGCCAGCCCGTTCCTGTCTACTACCTGGGACCATGCCACCGCATTGGTCCCCGGGACGAGTGCAGTCACCTCCTGCTCCTCTCCTCGCTTCCACCCTCACCCCTCACGGCTGCCAGAGGTAGCTGTTGTTCCAGAGAGAATTCGAACTCTCTGAAGACCGCGTTTCTCTGACCCATAAGTGTTACCCCTCCCCACTGCTAGCCTTGCCCCAACGGGTTGTTCATCATTTACAGTCACATGTGCTAATTCCTTCTGCTCTAGCTTGTTTTCTGGGTCATTTCTTACCTCCCCGGCTCCATATGTTGAAGGCCGGGGCAGCGAACTCCTACCTGTCCTGCAAAGCCCCGGCTCCGATGCTCCCTTGCCCGGGACACTTTCTCCGACTTTCCCAAGTTGTCCCCTCTGGGAAACTTTCTGCCCTTTCTGCCCAGCGCCGGCCAAACAAGGTTACTTGCTGTGTCCAGCTCTATCTTGCTCCAAAGTGCTCGAGGGCAACCCAGGGCTCCAAAGGGAACCCTGAACACGGAAAGTGCATCCAGCTTTGTGCAGATCGGAGCAGGCATTTGGCCCTGGGGTGGGGTGGTTTACAGGCGGCACCATAATCCTCCCAGGGCTGGGCTCTGCCCCTCGCGGTCCCTCCAGCAGGCCTCTGGTGGGGTGTTGGTCGGGAGGCGTTGGTGGGCCTCCCGCTCTCTGTGTGGCCCGTGGAGCACTGCTGTAGCAAGTGTGAGTGACAGCGAGTCTGTCCACAGTTGGAGCCTGTCGCTCTGTTCCAGCCCGTGGGTCTACATCTCGCCCCGTGACCTCCGTGCATCAGATGGAACTGCCTGGAATCCAGCTCTGCCCACCATGGGCAGGGTGGGGGGACTCACCTGTGCTTCCGCTGTGGCCTCCGAGAAGACATGATGGCCTCCCCCTTTTCCATCTGGGCTCGCTCAGCCCGGTGAGGTAGCCTTATACCTGCCTGGACTGGGGGCAGGGCCGCCCGCCCCAGGGAAGTCCTCACCCACGTCCTGTTCCCGTTAGTGGCTGGACCTGAGCCAGGCAAAGGAAGGGGGGTGGTCAGAATTGCAAAATTGCTTCCTGGCAGGGGAGGGGCGTGCTCCCTTCTCCGCCTGCTTTTACCTGGTGTTTCATCCCCCTGACTCCTGCTTTTGGGGGGTGGGTACCCCCAGAGTCTCTGGGGCTGAATCCTCACTTCCCCCCACTCCAGGAATCAAGGGTCACGTTTGCAAGGCTCCGTTCCCGGGCAGGGGAGGGACAGCTCTCTAAGCAAGAGCTAGTCTTTGCAATAAATCTAAGCAACCAGGAAGTTCAATGGAAGGAACAAAGAGGACTTGTCTTGAATTCATGACATATTGTTGTTGACCTTTTTTCTAAATGAAATAATTTCTGGGTGTTTTGTTTTGTTTTGTTAATAGTAAGAGAGAGCGTGCAAGCAGGAGTGAGGGGCAGAGGGAGAGAGAGAGAGAGAGAGAGAGAGAGAGAGAGAGAGAGAACCCCAAGCAGGCTCCACACTCATCACAGAGCCTGACGGGGGGCTCAATCCCACAACCGTGAGAGCATGACCTGAGTCGAAGTCAAGAGTCGGACGTTCAACTGACTGAGCCACCCAGGCGCCCCCAAGTGAAATAATTTCTAAAAAATAGAATTCAAAAGGGAGTGATGCCTAAAGTCTCCACAGTCTTCAAACAATGGCCTGGGAGGGACTAAATCATGCTCCGGCTCCCAGCTCTATAGAAACTGCTCTGTTTTGTGATCTTAGGCGAGCGGCTTAACTTTTCTTGGCCTCGGCTTCCACATCCGTGAAGTGGAACTCAAGTCTTCAAGGGCCCCTTCTGCTCTTTCTTTCTTCATTCAAAGGCTAATGAGCTATTTGTTTGGGGTCTCCCTCATTCCCTAATAAATGCATCCGGAAGCTACAAATGTGCCTTTGAGAACTGCTTTGGCTGCATCTCACGGGTTTGGTTACTCAGCGCTTTCATTCTTTTCGGGTTCTAAACATTCAGCTGTGATGTGTTAACTTTACATGCACCTGGACTTTGGTCACGCCTGGCCATGGCCCAGTCTCTCCACAGCCCAATCTCTGAAGAGTTTTGTCTCGAGCCGTGAGAATGAATGTGAGTTCTGTCTTGTGGGCACACAGATTCAGAGACATACGTGCAAGCTGACCGTGACAGGAGTAAAGAAAGACGGGTGAATACCCTCATGAATACACAGATACAGATACAACACAGAGACACAGACAAAGCAGGACAGAATAACAGACCCGTTGAGATGGACACACAAAAACAGATATGCACAAAATAGACAAAGGACCCGAATAATAGTTTCCCGAGGAGGACATGCAGATGGTCAACAGGTACATGAAAGGTTCTCAGCCTCACTCATCCTCAGGGAAATGTAAATCAAAACCACAATGAGATACCACCTCACACCTATCAGAATGGCTAGTATCAAAAAGACAGAAGGGGCGCCTGGGTGGCTCATTCGATTAAGCATCCGATTTTGGCTCAGGTCATGATCTGTGGGTTCAAGCCCCGCATTGGGCTCTGTGCTCACTGCTCGGAGCCTGGAGCCTGCCTCGGATTCCATGTCTCCCTCTCTCTCTCTGTTCCTCCCCTGCTTGCATTCTGTCTCTCTCTCTCTCTCTCTCTCAAAAATAAATAAACATTAAAAAACTTCTTTAAAAAAAAAAAAACTAGAAACAGAGTAGAATGGTGGCTGCCTGGAGCTGGGGGTGCAGGAAATGGGGAAATGTGGGTCTAAGGGTACAAATGCATGGTTACAAGACGAATACATCCAGGAGTTGTACAGCACGGTGACTATCATTAACGTTGCTGTATTACATACTTGAAACTTGCTAAGAGAGTAGATCTTTTGTTTTTTTTTCAATTTTATTTATTTTGAGAGAGTGGGGGAGGGGCAGAGAGAGGGAGAGAGAGAATCCCAAGCAGGCTCTGCGCTAGCAGCGAAGAGCCCAACTCAGGGCTGGATTCCACGGACCTTGAGATCATGACCTGAGCTGAAGTCAAGAGTTGGACGCTTAACAGACTGAGCCACCCAGGCGCCCAGTGGGTGAGTAGATCTTAAATGGTCCCATCACACACACACACACACACACACACACACACACACACACACACGCACACACACACACACAAGTACCTGAAGTAATGGATGTGTTAACCTTTCATGGTGCGATATTGGCATGTATCAAACATCTGAAACTTACACAATGTTGTAGGTCAAACCTCTCACGCGTCCAGGAGAAGCCAGGCGATGTCCTCCCGGTGTTTTGCATTTGTTTACTAGGCTAACGGTCTCCTCTGGGACAAGGGGGAGCCAGATCTGTCTCGTCCACTGCTCCACCCCCAGAGCCCAGCACACAGTAGGTGCTTCATTGGAAGCGGGCGGGAAGGAAGGGGTGTGAACCCTAAAGGCAAAATGCTACAGAGATCTCTGAACGTGCTAATCAGAGCCTGCCCCTGCTTCAAAGCCTCGGGTGGTTCCCCGTCCCACTTAAACTCCATCAGGCTGGGGGGAGGAGGATGGGGAGTTAATGTGTAATGGAGGCAGGGTTTTAGTTTGGAAAAGATGAGAAAGTTCTGGAGATGGATGGTGGGGATGGGTGCCCAACAGTGTGAACGGACCTCATGCCACTGACCTGTGCACTTAAAAAAATTTTTTTTTAATGTTTACTTTTGAGAGAGAGAGAGAGAGACAGAGCATAAGCAGGGGAGGGGCGGAGAGAGAGGGAGACATAGAATCCCAAGCAGGCTCCAGGCTCTGAGCTGCCAGCATGGAGCCCGGCGCGGGGCTCGAACCCATGGACCTTGAGATCATGACCAGAGGCCAAGTCAGATGCTTAACCAACTGAGCCACCTGGTCGCCCCCGAACTGTGCACTTTAAAACACTTCCCATGGTGCATTTGAATTCATGTGGATTTATGTGGATTTTGCCACGATAAAAACATTTTTTTACGCTCCTATCTGTGGGGCCCTGCCTGCCCCGAGCCCTGGCCCTCCCCTCCCTCCTGATCTGCACCTGCTCCTGCTGCCTCCCCTCCCCGGGGCCGCTGTGGCCACCTTGCCCCCTCCTCCAAGCGTGTTCTCACGTCCCCCACACTGTTCCCTCTGCCCGCACGCCTCCCCACAGCTGCTTTCTCACTCAGCACATCTCAGCTCAAGGGTCACCTCGACAGGCCCTCCTTGGCCACCCCCCACACCCTCACCCTCTACCTAGCACATTACCTGGCCTTTTCCCCACTGCACACATCACTCCTTCAAATCCAGTCCTAATTTGCAAGTACAGGACCGGTCTCCCCAACTAGGCTACGAACTCCATGAGGACAGGGATCTTTGTCCCCGACGGTGCCTGGCATATAGCAGGTGCACAGTAAATATCTGCTCAAGAACGAATCGGGAACCGGCCCCATCCAGAGGAAGATGCCCCCCATTTCCACACCCAGCTCCCCAGAATTCTGCTTGCCACCACGAGTGACACAGGGGCTCCCAGTTACCCCCGGGGCAACACCATGGTCCAGGTCCCACCCCCAGGAGACAGAGCAGAGCCAGAGCCTTGGGGGGCCGGTGGTTGTAAACAGTTTTATTGATGGGGAGGGGGTTGGGGGAGGCAAAGTCCAGAGAGAGTCCAGGACTCAGCTGGCCACTCAGCTGGCATGCATGGTCAGCTGGAGGTCGAGGGGGAGGTCACGAGGGGACGGGTGGCATGGGACCCTCTGACCACCCTGGGGCCGTATTTACAGTGGGGCCCGCCCGCCTTCCCCGCCCCCGGACCACCAAGCCCTTTGGACAGCTGCTGCCAATGTGACTTCCGGGCAGGCCCTCCCGGCCCCCCTGCCCGAAACGCCTGCTTGTCTCCCCTCAAAGTCCTAACGGGCACCTTGGAGGCCCCCCGGCCTTCTGGAAGCCCCGGCGCCGGCTCAGCCAACGCCCAGGCCGCTGGGGCCACCGCCTCGCACACGGACACGTACACGGCACGCGCGGCCCGCCTCGACACATACATACACACACACACACACACACACACACGCCGG